ATTTTGTGTCATAGGATTTCACCTCAAATTTGAAATGATTAACAAAAAGACCACTCAAGTGTTTGAAAATTAAGAAAAACTGCTAAGTAATTCATTGGTTGAAGAAATCTTGATGGAAATAATAGAACTGAAAGTATTATACATCCAAACTTTTGGAAGGTAGCTGAAGTGGTATTTAGAAAACCTTAAATGACATATCAGAAAAAGGGAGAAACAGGACACCTGGGTGGCTCAGTCAGTTAAGTGTCTGCCTTCGGTTCGGGTCATGATCCCAGGGTCCTGGGATCCAGTTCCGCATCGGGCTCCTTGCTCAGCAAGGGGACCTGCTTCTCCCTCTGCCTGACGCTCCCCCTGCTTATACTCTCTCTCTCCGACAATAAATAAAATATTTCAAAAAAAGAAAGAAAAAGGGAGAAAGGCTGAAAATAAATTATTTATTCCTTCCTTCCTTCCTTCATTTATTTATTTATTTATTTTAGAGACAGAGGGAGGAACAGAGCGGGAGGGAGAGGGAGGGGAAAGAATCCCAGGCTGACTCTGAGCTAAGCGCAAAGCCCAGTGCAAGGCTCTGTCTCATGATCCTGAGATCATGACAGCCTAAACCAAGAGTCAGACACTTAACTGACTAAGCCATTCAGGTGCCCCAAGAATATATTTAAAATGACAATTCCAGTAATACATTGCTGGCTTAATATTAGATGATGATTTAATGTTAACCTATTAACTATTAACCATTTAAATATCAAAAGCATGAGAATGAGAATTCTTAATAAAGTGGGAATAGGAAGAAACTTACCTGTTAAAGGATATCTACTAGGAAATTTATACCAGATATCATACTTTATGGTAGTAAATGGAAATCATTCCTGTTAAGGAAAATACAAAGGTGGCCTGCCATTTACCACTTCTGTTCAGTGTTGTGCTAGAGATTTCAGTCTGCACAGTAAGACAATAAAAGGAAACAAAAGGTAATGAGCTTGGAAAAGAAACCATTCTTATTAGAGGTGGAATATAGCAAATACATTGAAAATCTGAGAGGTCAGAGATACACTTTTAAAATCAAGAGTTTAGCAAGTTTGGTGGATGCAAAATCTACAAAAAGTCTGTTGGAAATGTAACTTAAGATTCAGTTTATTATAGCATTAGAAAATAAAAAGTGCTTAGAAATAAATTTACTGCAAAATCTATAAGACCTTATGGAGAATATTATAAAATTTTATCATATTAAAGAAATATGCAGGATTCGTGGATTGGAAGATATCTAATATTACAGTGATGCCAAATGTCAGATCTCCCCAAACTGATCAACAGATTCAGTGCAATTGAAATCACAATCCTAACCTTTTTAAAAAATTTTTTTATTGTTAATCACCATACATTACATCATTAGTTTTTTATGTAGTGTTCCATGATTCATTGTTTGTGCATAACACCCAGTGGTCCATGCAGAACGTGCCCTCTTTAATACCCATCACCAGGCTAACCCATCCTCCCACCTCCCTCCCCTCTAGAACCCTCAGTTTGTTTTTCAGAGTCCATCGTCTCTCATGGTTCGTCTCCCCCCAATCCTAACCTTTTTTTAAACTTGACATACTGAATTAAAAATTTATATGGAAGAGAAAGGGCTTTCAGATACTGCCAAAGAGAGATAAAATGTGTGATGGAGAGTTGGATGCTTTAAAATGTACAAGTAAATGTATGTGGTATTTGCACAGGGATGGATAAACAAAATAATTGAGGCAATGTAATAGTTTAGAAATACAGCAATTTATGCAGCCTCCGTGAGGGCTTTGGTGTTTCTAAAATATGTCCACAAATTCTTTGATACTACTCCCTTAAAAAGACAGAGCCCAATTCTCCACCCCTTGAATGTGGGCTGGACTTAAGTATACAAATAGAATTACCCAAAGAGACATTGTACATTTGGGGGACTAAGTTCTAAAAGGCACTGTGACTTTTCTCTTTTGGATTACTTGCTGTGGAAAATTTAGCTGCCCTGTTGTGAGCAGCCCTATGGAGAGGCCCACATGGTAAGGAACTGGGGACTTCTGCCAACAGCCAGTAAAGAAGTGGGACCTCCAGAATAACCTTTGTGAGTGAGCTTTCTTGGAAGGTGATCCTCTAGCCCCAGTCAAGCCTTTAGATGACTGACCAGCATTTTCACTAGACCCTGATGAGAGATCCTGAGCTAGAACCACCAGCTAAACTGCTCTTGGATTCCTGACCCTCAGTAGCAGTAAGATAATGTTTGTTGTTTTAAGCCACTAAGTTTTGGGGTACTTTGAGTAACCAGGACAGTAGTCGTCATTGCTCATGTTGGGAGCAATGGGAAAAGGATGAATTTGTCAATAAATGCTGCTGGGACAGTGGACTGTATGAGGAAAGAATGAGCTTGGATCTCTACTCATACTATATATAACAATTAAGGCGAATGAAAGATCTTATTAAAAAGACAAACTATAAAACTTTAGAAAGATAATGAAGGAGATTATCTTTGGGGAAGGATATTTTATTTTTGGAAGATTTTATTTATTTGCCAGAGCGCGAGCGCGTGCACAAGCAGGGGGAACAGCAGGGAGAGGGAGAAGCAGACTCCCTGCTGAGCAAGGAGCCCGATGCGGGACTGGATCCCAGGACCCTGGGATCATGACCTGAGCTGAAGGCAGATCCTTAACCGACTGAGTCACCCAGGTGTCCTGGGGAAGGATATTTTAAAGAGCAAAAAATAATTAGATTATAAGATTAAGAATGTTTTTATCAAAACACCTTTAGAGGATAAAATGATGATCTATAAGAAGATATTTTAACTTGGGGTGCCTTGGTGATTCAGTAGGTAAGCATCTGACTCTTGATTTCAGCTCAGGTCTTGATCTCATGAGTGAGTTCAGGCCCATGTTAGGCTCCACGATGGGTATGGAACCTACTTACAAAAAAAAAAAAAAGAAAAAGAAATTTTAACTTACTTAACTGAAAAAAGGTAATGTACTATTACAGAAATACCCACCTCTGAGTAAGAAAAAGATCAGTAGAAAAATAGGTAAAAAATTTTGACTTCATAGAAAACGAAACCTGAAAGTTAATATATATTTGAGAAGATATTGAACCTTATTAGTAATTAAGGAAACACAAATTAAAATCACAGTGGGGTAGCATTTCAAGCTCATCCTATTGGAAAAATTAAGCTTTCTGGCAATATTAAGTGTCGTAGACGATAAGGAGCACTTACATATTAGGTGGAAATGTAAAAGGTTGATACTCCAGGACTCTGGGGTGTAGATGCCAAAGAAACCCTAGAAGATATGTACAGGAATGTTCCCAGCAGTGCTATTCATAATAGCAAAGAGCCAAAGCAGCCAGATGTCTCCAAGTAGAGCTGAGTACTATCCAACAGTCAATATGAATCTAGCTGAGGACAACATGCATGAATCATGAAAATGGGTGAAGAAAAAAAGTTGGTAGAATACATGTAGTATGATTCTGTATATGTAAAGGTTAAAATGCAGTACTAAGCAATTCATGTTTAGGGATTCAAATGTGTGATAAAACTATTTTAAAAGTAAGAAAAAACTCTGGATAGTCATTGTCTCTGAGGTGGGGGACAAAGAGGAGGCCCCATAAAGGATTTTAAAATCAGTGATCCCCCCCACTTAAACCATTGATAAGTTTTGGGTTTTTATGATAATATAAAGATTTAAAACTTTTAAAAATGGTAACATACATATATTAAAGTGCACTAATCTTAAGCGTAGTTTGGTGAATTTTTACCTATGTATAAACCATCCTCCAGATTAAGCTACAGAATATTTTCAAAAGGTTCACTGGTGTCCTTTCCCAGTCAGTATCCCTCTTCCTGAACCACTATGTATTCTTACATATGTTTTGTAACTCTTCTCTTGTAAACTCTTTGTTTTCATGATGTAGACCGAGACATACTCTCTTAGATCTTTAAGAACTTAAGTGAAAAAAGGAAGTCACAGAATATGATTGTTTTAAAAAAGAGATAGTGCGTATTATATAGAAATCATATTTTTAAAGCAATTGGTTACGTATGAGGAAGCAAATTGGAATGGAAAGGGATGATGGTATATATGTCCTATATTTCTGTTTACTTTTTTAGGATGAGCATGTATTCATACATTACCCAGTTATCATAAAGAATATTCAGGACAGTTCATAAATCTTTCCTGATTATGTTGAATAAGTATCTGGTCACGTTTTCTCTGCTTATGGATTTCAAAAAAAAACTATTATGCTATAGTAATTCTTTTTTGGAAACTAATATCCAACTTTGGCAGAAGGGATTCTTCAGCTTTGGGAAACAAAATGAGACTAGGTGCGCCTAGGTGGCTCAGTCGGTTAAGCATCCAACTCTTAATTTGACTCAGGTCATGGTCTTAGAGTCGTGGGATCGAGCCACATGTCCCATAGGTCAGGCTCTGTTGGGCATGGAGCCTGCTTAAGATTCTCTCTCTCCCTCTGTCTCTGCCCTTACCCTCATGTGCACACACGTGCGCACGCTCTCAAAAATAAATAAATAAATAAATAAAAGGGACTAACCCTGGGCTCCTGTTTTCTCTTATCAATTGAAAAGGTAGTTCTTGTACTTACAAGTTTGCAGAGTAAGTATTTAGATTGAATCAACTAAATGTGTGGTTTAGGTACTCTAATCTATAAGGGATATTATTCTTTGCTCTTTATATGACATCTTTGTCTAGATTTTTATTTTTCCACATACTCATTGGTACTTTGGACACAGTGGAACTTATGGTTTTACATATTATTTGCAATCAGACATTTTTCTGTTGTTCTCTTTAATTATAAAAACAACAGCTTGATACTCCTTGAAAATCACCCAAAGTTACCACCACTTGAAGACAGCCAACATTTTAGGACATTTCTGCCATTTTTAAGCATAGTTATATATGTGTTTAGATTTTTTACAGTTTTTTAAGTATACCTACCATCTCATAACCTGTCCTTTTATTCCCATTTTTTTACAGCATTTTTCATCAGAGTACAAACTTCCATGTTTTCAGTGGCAAACAGCCTATTAGAGATGCTTAGAAGTTTAGAGATGCCCTTACACTCATGTATTGATGTATCTGTATTTCTCTAGGCAGATAGTTGATATAAAATATGTATCTAAGAAAATCTGTATACCAAAGTGGTAGAGAATCTAATTATGAGTGCTTTCCCAATAGTAGACATTAAAAATGTAGTAAACAGCCAGAATTCGTGGCATTAAAAAGAAACATCTCCTTTCTCCTGATTTAAAATGTCATTTCCATTACTTTTGGAAAGACTTTATAGTCTTGCGTTGTTTCGATGCTAATCTACCTTTTGAAATTTTTTTTGAGAATTAAGAAATATTTAGATTTGACTTTTACTTCCTTTTCTGCTGTTTTTCACTAAAATATAGTACTCAGCCTTTTAAGTTTTGCTTGGGAATTAGGCCAAAATACCTGAGACAAGGAGATAAAATACATTCTTTCTGATCAGTCAGCCAAACAGCAGACCAGACAACCTTTACATAAGTAGGTAATCTGGCTTATTATGTTGGTTACATGCCACTTGTCTGTCAAACCATTCAAACTTTGGTAAACCTTTTTTTTTTTTTTTTGGGGTAAGGTATTTGTCACCTACATCTCAGTTTGGGTCAGCATCACAGTTTGAAATTGTACAAGAAAGGAGGAAGGACTCCACGTCTAAGGTATGTGGATGCTAAAGATGTTCTCAATTTGGCAAGTTTACTAATGCTATAGATTGCTAATACTTGTAGTTTCCTAACTTTTTTTTTTTAGTCACTCTGGTATATGGAATACCCTTTCTTAGTCATCTTAGGCTCACCTAGACTAGGAGTCAACAAACTTCTCTAAAGGGCCAGATAATAAATATTTTGTGGCCCTGTGGTCTCTGTCACAACTATTCAACTCTGCTGTTTTCGTGTGAAAGCATCCATAGACAATACATAAACTAATAGACTTCTCTTTGATCAAGTAAAACTATTTATAAAAGCAAGCAGCAGGCTGAATTTGGTTCATGGGCCATGGTTTGTGGATCCCTGGCTTAGACAATCAAACTCGCAAAACCAAATAGGCTACCCCTGGTCCCAGCTTCAGTTTAAGGGAGAATTAGAGGATGAGAAACAAAGCATGCTAGTAGGGTAGCGTCAGGCATGTCTGTGCAGCAAGAGTCTTCGCTATAGAGCTCCTAAGTGAGAGCCTGGGAATGAGACAATGCAGAGAATGTGGTAATCACCCTGGCTTAGAAGCCCTGTGCTCCATAAAGAGTCAGTTATTAACAACCAATGGGTGTAGCTTCCAGGGGTCCTGGGAAGGAACACAGCAGGTCGGAAGAGTTGTAAGTCACAGAAGCCCCAAGATTTGGTTTCCCATTGGGTACTTAGAGATCACTCATAGTTCTCCTAGTATAGATGCAATTCACCAGGAAGGTCATTTTTACCATAAGCTATGTGGCCTAGTAACACAGGTCACTAGGTTTCCAGGAGAATAGAACTAGGAAATGTGAGCTGACACCAAGGTTCATTTCCTACAGAGAAGTTTTGTTAACCCTTCACTAGGAGGTTCCTAAATTTTTTTAAAACTCAGCTAGGTAGTTTAAAACCTATCATTTAATTGGCATTTACCATGTGCCAGATAATGTATGTATTATTTTCTTCAGTCTCCAAGCACCAACTCTGTAAGGTAAGGTATTCATTCTTGTGCCCATTTTACAGTTAGGAATTAACTAAGGCACATGCAGATAAGAGACTTGTGCAGAGTCCCTTAAGTAGAGATGCTGGAGGGAGGATTCAAGTCCAGATGGTCTGGCTCATACTAGAACTGAGGATGGAAGAGGCTTTGTAGGGTGGGGATATTTGTCCTACCCTGGTGTTCATATTCACAGCAAAACTAGATAAGTAACCTGGAATTTATCCAGTCCAAACTGGACTGGTTCATAAGAAATGCTATAAGGAATGATAAAGACAAAGCAAAGTAGATAAAAGAACAGATTTAAGATCTCTAACAACAAGGAGTAATTTTTGTTCTGAGATTTTCACCAAAGCCTTTCTTAAGGCTTTTCTATGGTCAGAACGAATCCTAGGTCTTCACTTACCTAAGACCTATAAGTGAAAAGAAAAACATACTGGCAAAAGCAAGGGTTCTTTTTTTTTTCCCTTTCATTTTCCTTTCCTTTCCTTCTTCTTTCTTCTTTCTTCTTTCTTTTTTTCTTTCTTCTTTCTTTCTCTTTTTTTTAAAGCAAGTGTTCTTAACCTAAGGTCTAGGACTGTGGTTAGAATCCAGAGAGTACATATGAACTTAAATGGAGGAAAAGGTTTATCTTTACTTTCACCTAACCTCTCATTCCTTTAATTACGAATGTAGACATCGAGCCATAATACTGTTAGCAAAAGCTGTGCCTTTGGTCATCAGTGGAAAGCACAGGTTTTTATCATGTTATGTTTGTGGCAGGTTTCTTGAAATACCATTGTTACTCATCCTACTTCAGCATTACAAGTTATTAGACTTGCCCCAGTAGATCTTACTATTTAATGTATTACTGGATGCACATTACATGAGGAATGATATAATTGTGTTGCAATATAAATTATTCCCTTTGTAATCCCATTTATTTATTTTTATATTTTAAAGTATTCAGAAGAGGTCTGTAAGCTTCACCAAAATGCTGAAAGGTGGAGAGTCCGTGGCACAAAAAGGGACTAAAAACCTCTGGGCTAGAGGTATAAGGTGAAAGAGAGGTCAGGTCCCGGTGAGAGCTTATTGACCATACACAGAATCTAGTTTGTGGGTTTTAATCTGTAGGTTTTCATGGGAATGAAAATGAAGGAATGCCTTAATCTAAATTGGCACACAGAATAAAAATACTATTATGAGTTAATATGCGTTATTAGTAGTGATGCTATCCTGTAGTGAACACTCAGAGTATCACGATATTAGACTTCTGTATTATGACTTGATGTTTTTCCTGTGGTTCACTCCGTCTTTTTCTGTTTTCTACAGGAAACTGACAGTAGTGTTGTAAAGAGCCCTGCATGGCAAGATACAGAAATTGAGGAAGATATGCCAACACTTTCTCGGCAAATATGCGTGGAAATTCAAGAACAGGGTGAAAAGTCTTCAGAGTCACCCATGCCTCAGTTATGTGCCGATGGTGGAGAATGGTGCCTTGAAGGGGAAGTCAAAGTGAGACCAACGAATCATGATAAAGAGCTAAGTGTCCTAAATCATGAGGGACCTGAAGGCAGAGTTCCCTGCTCTGGGGAAGCTGCAGTTAAGCCTTATGGCAAAACAGAGAGTGGGTGCACTGTATCAGGTATGACACAGATAATTGGAAGTAATACAGTTGAGACAGAAAATGAAGACTCTTGTCTATCGATCAGTAAAGATATTTCCAAAAGAAAAAACCCGGAATCTTTGTCTGAAGCAGTCAGGGATCCATGCGTTTCTGCAAAAAGAAGGAAAATGTTCCCCGAAGCTTCCTCAGATCAAGAGGAAACAGAAATCAACTTTACCCAAAAACTGATAGATTTGGAACACTTACTTTTTGAGAGACATAAACAAGAAGAACAGGATAGGTTATTAGCGTTACAGCTTCAGAAAGAAGTAGATAAAGAACAAAAGAAGCCAAACCGGCAAAAAGGATCCCCAGATGAGTATCATTTACGTCCTACATCTTCACCTCCAGACAAATTGTTAAATGGACAGAGGAAGAATTCCAAAGATAGGAACTTCAAAAAACAGACTGATACAGAGCATTCAAAATCTTGGAGAGGCTCAAAAAATGAAAATTGGCAGCCGTCTTTTAAGATCCAGTTGAAACATTCAGTTAATGGGAGAAAGGTGCCAAATTCTTCTAGAGATAATTGTAATGTATCTAAAAGTTCCCTACAGCCTAGTAAGTCACAGAAAAGTATTTTTCAGATGTTTCAGAGATATACAAAGTAATGCATGGGGAGAAGGAGTGTTTTATAATCTAGTAAAGCTGGATTGTGAAGCTCTCTTTTCTGTCATAGACTCTTTATAATGGTCACACTCATCGTCTATAAAGGACTGTGTGATTACAAGGGAGGACTATATAAATGTGTTTCTGCCAAACTCAGTGGTAAGCAGGAGTCCCAATCCTTTGCTTTTTTAATAATTATGATGTACTAAGTTTGACAATCCTTACGGATATAAAAATGCCTTGGTGAACTCCCAAGAAATCTTCAAGTGCCATTCTGTTTCCCAGAAATGCATGTTTTACAGCCTTTGCTTCCCTTCTTGTCCTAACTAGTAATCAAAGCAAGATGGTACTATACGGAGTAGTTAGGAACCCAGGCAGGGTGAGTTTTCTTGCCACTTTCCCATGTATTTGCAGAGCACTTGAAATGCATCTTCCATAACACTAAAGTAATCTAGTTTTCATCTCCACTTTAATTATTTTAACCATTATAGCATTTTCTTCAATTTAAAATGGTTTATGATCAATGCGTAATCAGAAAAATCAGAGTTTCCTGGAAAATTAAGAATCAGTTGACAGAAAGGAAACTAGGCTCTTGATGCAAAAGGAGTTAAGAGTTGGGGTGCAGCTCTGTGGGGGCAGGTTGACCATTTGGAAGTGTTGGAACTGAGTGAGTGATCAGAAACTGGGCCTCGGAGGGAGTAGCCGGTGGAGTTTGGTAGAGGGTTCTCCCTCCTCCTTTCTTTGCTAAATGACATGGAAAACATTTGGGTTTTATAGCTTTTCACATCATAGTATCTGGTATCAAAATCAAAATCAATTGCTAAATTGCCTGAAATTTAGGGATTTCACATTTCTATTAATCTGCTATTCCAGGAAAAAAATGGAATTTTACTGTAGGAGAGTTAAATATAATATCTTTTGTTGTGGGACCTGAGACATAACCATGTGTTTATTTCCTTATATTATCATTTGTATTGATGCTGACTTTTATATGTGTTTATGGGCAGAAAAAGAGAGTCTGATGCTTGGGTTTTGCCATCTTACCCCTGAAAGTTAAATCAGAAGGCAGTGATTTCATTTTGTGAAATTTAACTTGGAGACTATTAATCTTTTTTTCATTAATATAAACAATTTTAAGCAAATAGCAGTTTTAACAGCATTTCTGCTGATCTCTAGTTGTCCATCCTTTTAAAGTAAAAATAAAACATTCTAGAGCTAATTCTAGCTTAAATTTGTCAATATTTTTGTACATTATTAAGATTTTTTTTCCTCCAAATTTTGTAACTGAAATTCTGTTAATCTTTGCATAGTTAATGGCATCTATTCTGATATTGATCGGGTAATTATGGGTAGAATTCTGATGCTAATTTAAAATCTAGTTTGCCCTTTCTCAAAAAAAAAAAAAAGTGATTGCCCTCTGAGTAATGATTGTGCTGGAATGAAGTCTAGTCAGAAACTAACCAAATTTCTCCAGAATACACTAATATCTGTCTTCTCATCAAACCAGTATTTTTCTAAGAGCAATTTCACTTAACATTTTAGGGTGGACACTGTTAGAACTCCTCAAAAGTTGTATAATTAAATTTTCCTGGAATAGTCCATGACCAAAAAGGGGAAAAAATAGTGTGACATATATAGGATTTATACATTTAACCACTTATTTGTCTGTGAAGAAGTTTTCCTGACCTTAAGATAAATTTTAATTTCTCTGTTTTTCTGATAGCCCTATCTTGTATGCCTTTTCGTTAGAAACTAATAAATGTTTTGTGTCAGTCATTAGAGTATATTGCTACTTTTTCCTCTCATTTTTGTGGAGGGATAGGAGAGTGTTTAACTTCTCAGGGAGCACTAGAACAGTGCAGAGGTTGAGAATCTGAAAATTAAAATAATAAAAATTAAAATGGTCTATTACATGTATTTTACCACAATTAAAAAATAAAAATTAACTACATAAAAATAAAAAGTTCTGCATAACAAAAACTACTACCATAATGGAAAATTGGAAGACATGGCAAATGGCGGGAGGGTTGGCGGGGAGTAGATGCAGTTCATCACAAAGAGCTCAATTCCTTTATGCAAAGTATCTGCTGATACATTATGAAAACAATTAACTCGAAAGGAAAATTATAAATGTTCCCAAGAAACATAGTTCCCAGGAAAGGAAATACAAATGTCTCTTAAATATGTGAAAAGATGCAAAATGTCACTTACACTAATGCTTATACATTTTTCTACCCTTCACATTAGTTAAGATAAAGGTGTTTTTTTGTTTTGCTTTTGTGTATGTATGTGTGTTTAAATCTTGGCAAGAGTGTGGGGAAATAGGCACTGTTATCTGTTGGTTGGTATCAGCAGAAAATTTAAAATCCCAATTCCGAATTTGGCAATTCTATTTCTAGGAATTTCCTACATGTAGAATGACATGTATAAAATATTTTTGTATGGCACTATTTATAATAATAAGCTTAGAAACAACCTTAATGTCACATCAGTAGATAATAAATGATGGTACAATGAAATACTGTGTAGCAATTAACAGCAAAACCACTTTACTGGTATGAAAAGATATATACATGTATTTGCATAAAATGTCTAGAAAGAGAAGCAATTAACGTTGCCATCAGGGAGAGAAACCGTGGGCCTGGGAGATGGGGGGAAGAATGACTTTTCAGTCTGTGTTCTTTTCTAGTTTTTGAATTTTCAGTCATACTGAATATATCATCTAGTCAAAATTTAAATGTTTTTTAAATGTTGCAAGATAGGAGCGCCTGGGTGGCTCAGTTGGTTGAGTGACAGACTCTTGATTTCGGCTGGGGTCATGATCTCAGGGTCCTGGAACTGAGCCCCGCATCCAGCTCTTTGCTCAGCAGGGAGTCGGCTTGGGTCTCTCCCTCTGCCCCTTTCCCGCTTGCACGTGTGCGTGCTCTCTCTCTCTCTCTCAAATCAATAAATAAATCTTTTTTTAAAAAATGTTGCAAGATAGGGGCACCTGGCTGGCTCGGTTGGAAGAGTATACAGGACTCAATCTCAGGGTCTTGAGTTTGAGCACCATGTTGAATATTAGGGATTACTAAAAAAATAAACTTATATAAAAAATATATATTGCAAGATAAAGGGAGCTTATTAATCTTAGCCTGCACCACTCTGAAGGGTATTTTTTGCCTTTACATTTTAAAAATAATTCAGGAAGATTTTTTCAGTGGAAAAAAATAGAGTATTGTGAGTTGATTTGAATGTATTTAGCTTTAAGGTACTATTTTTAACTTATCTGAAAAGCAAGACTTATGCTTTCCAGGTAGCTTTGCAGCAGGCCTGCGTTCCTGCTGAGAGCAATGAGAAGAGCCAGATAGAAATGAAAAATTGCCAGGGCACCTGGGTGGCTCAGTCCATTAAGCTTCTGCCTTGGGTTCAGGTCATGATCTCAGGGTCCTGGGATTGAGTCCCACATCAGGCTTTCTGCTCAGCAGCGAGTCTGCTTCTCACTCTCTCTCTGTGGTCTCTCTTGCTTTGGCTCAGTTGGTTAAGCGACTGCCTTCAGCTCGGGTCATGATCCCAGGGTCCTGGGATTGAGCCCTGCATCGGGCTCCCTGCTCAGTGGGAAGCCTGCTTCTCCCTCTCCCACTCCCCCTGCTTGTGTTACCTCTTGCTGTCTCTCTCTCTGTTGATTAAATAAATACATAAAATCTTTAAAAAAAAAAAAAAAAAAGTAAAATTGCCTACTGAAAAGCATCAGAGAGCCACTGAAACAATGAGGACTAAATTCAGGGTTAAGATTCGAGAGAAGGGAGACTTAATGAGAAGTGAACTGATATTTGCAACCAAAAAGTGGTTTTGCTGGTAGCATGTGCCTGTTGTGAATGCAGGACAAGAATCAGGGCTGCTGCTAGTGAACAGAAACTGGCAGAGCTCTTGGCCTTCTGATGAAACTGGAATAACAATACTGGAGACTTGAGGGTCATCAGACACAAGGCCAATTTTCCCATCAAGGTAATTGCCGAGTTTTGAAATTGCTCCGGGCAGAGGCTCAAAGACTGAAAACCTCTGAAAAGCAGAGAGTTGTCATCAGGCTCACGCTGCTGATGAGACAAAAGCATTCATGACCTCCTGAGGGAAGGGAGCCTGTTGAGCACACCAGGACCTCAACTGGAAGCCTTAGCACAGGGTCTGTAAAGTACATCCCAGGGGCCAAATCTGCATGTTGCCTGTTGTTGTAGGGCTTGTGGGCTAAGAATGGTTTTTGTTTGGTTCTGAAGTAGGCTCCACACCCAGTGTGGAGCCCAGCGCAGGGCTTGAACTCACGACCCCGAACCTGAGCTGAGATCAAGAGTTGGACACTTAATGGACCCAACCACCCAGGTGCCCCTAGAATTCCCTTCTGAATTTAGTCTCTACCTATATGACCTTAGGTGAATTGCTTACCTTTCATTACCTCACTTTCTTAATTTGTGAATGGGAATCCTAATGTAACCAACCTAGTTGCTATCAAGAGGTAAGCACCTGGCACAGGCCTTGATTCAAAAAAAGAACTGGAATAAGTGATGGTTCCTTCCCCCTGGCTCTTCTCTGACCTCACTACTCCACCAGTCCCACTTTTGAAAGAGTCTCACTTCATCCAGTGACTTCGTGCTCCCATAAATCCCCAAATGTGGCATCCAATAAGCTGCAGTTACCTTCTGTCTACTGGTGAAGACTCCACTCACCTCTGCCAAGCGTGTCTGCAGCTCCCTGCATCGCAAGAGACCCCTGCCTATAAGCCCCAGGTCACAAGAGTCCTTGGCCCCAAAGGAAACGAATTCTCAGAAATCCTAAGTGGCGTCTGCAAATCCCTGTACTAGTTCACAGCTGGTATGCATAAAGGTGTGTGAAACACTAAAAACTTTGAGATTAAAAAGATGGGAGTTGAGCCACTACTGTATACGCATTTCTTATTCCTGCATGAAGATCTTTTTTTTTTTTAAGATTTTATTTATTTATTTGAAAGAGAGAGAATGAGAGAGAGCACATGAGAGAGGGGAGGGTCAGAGGGAGAAGCAGACTCCCTGCCGAGCAGGGAGCCCGATATGGGACTCGATCCCGGGACTCCAGGATCATGACCTGAGCCGAAGGCAGTCGCTTAACCAACTGAGACACCCAGGCGCCCCCTGCATGAAGATCTTAATAAACAATTATGACTTCAAATTTTGAGTCTGATTTTTTTCCCCTCTAGAATATTTTGCCTTGTCTTGGCAGGACTTGGAGCAACCTTGAGTTCAGCTGAGGGGACTCTACATTTTACTTACTTTACATTTCTCTTCAACTTGGCTTTTGTAGTTCCAGGTTGCCACAATCAGGCTCTGTCCCTGGAACTAGTTCAATTCAGAAGGCTTTCTGTCGCAGGGGATCATAAACGGAGTCTCCATTTTTGTATCATTCCTCTCCATCTCTTAAGTCCCATAAGAAGTTTGTGTGTCCGCCTTTTACTGCAGGTTACACTGACCACAGACTTTCCTGAGTACCAGGATGAGGATGAGAATCCCACTCCTTGCTCAGGTTTATACTAGACAAATGTGTATTGATCAGGGTCCAGTTAAGAAAACAAAAACACAATATTTCAACAGAGGGTATAGAGTGTAGGGAATTGGTTAGACAGGTGTTAGAACAAAAGGGAAGGAACACTGAGATAACCCAAAGATGATAACTGCAGGAAGTGTCTACTGCCTTCAAAGCTGGGAAACAGAAGAGTTTGGGTTACTAGAATGAGGCGCTTAGGAGGTGGGGGAGGGGGAATGCGGAATTGACGTTCAGACCTTTGAGAAAGAAACCTCTTAAGTGCTGCTGGTGCTCTGAAAGGGTCAAGTGAGTCTAGTTCTAGAAAAGCTGGATTTGGAAATTGGAGTCAACTGCCACTGCTGGGGTGACACTGATAGGAACAGTAAAAAACAAGACTCCCCTTTCCACCTTTCCTCCTACTACTTATAATAGAACTGAGCAGGAAGCTTGCTGTTGGAGGAGGCTGGGAGAGTGGGAAGGTGTCCTTCATAGCATTGCAGACTTTGGGATGGCAGACTCGGAACTGAGAGAGAAGAAGGTGTGGTTCCCCTCACATTGATTTCCTTCAGTGGATTCTGGGACTAAGATGTCTTGAAATTTCTAAGGCAAAACCACAGAAAGCTCTTACCCTGACAAAATGGAGTAATATGTGTGGGAAAATGCTTAAACACAAACGTGCAGAAGTAAAACTTTGTTAAGGATCTATGGAAGTAAACTGGAGAACCTTCCCAACTGGTCAGTTTCTATTGCCCTTATGATATCTGAGTGTCCCCATCTCGATCAGAGTTGATCATTCAGAGTAAGTTTTGTGTGCATCACACCACACAGACTAACATCACCTAAAGCCACCGTTGTCCTGACTCCCTACCAGCTTCCCAGTTCCTTACCTACGGGGACACCAAGAACCCCTCTCTAAAATTTCTTTTTGGAAAATTAAGGCCTCCAGCATGATCACCAAATTCCCAGAGCTCCTAGGAGTGTATTTCTGGGTACATCTCAGAGATACTAGAGTTAGAACACCTGGATAAAATTTAAAGGAGGGCATTTGAGTAATTGAAGTAGATCATAATGAAGTAATTCTCCAGAGTAAACCTAGATTACAAAAAAATCAGATGGCAGAGAAATTGTATAATTTTAGCAAGAGGCACTAAGAGAATACTAGATCAATTTGGTTTTAATGTGTGAGAGAATTGTTCCAAAGAGCTAGAAGTGCTGTAATTTATACAACCGTATTCTAAATTTACTGAATTAA